GTAGAGGATTGTTTGGTTAGTTTGGGCTGTGGGGGGTCGGGGGGGGGGTTTCCTTTCAGAGTTTTCTGTCCTGAGTCTGCTCTCCTGCAGATTAATGAGGGACGGAGGCTTTTTCTGGGAGCTGCCGGGCAACCGGAGAAATGCCCGTTTCTTTAGGTTGTTTCTGACCTTTAGCTGGACACACAGAAGCTTTAGGGGAAAGTTTAAAGCTTTAAAGCCTGGTCTGATTAAATCAGGTTAAATTCACCTGCACATGAATGTTTTTCTCACCTTTTCTTGAAGCTGCATGAAACTCTGAGAACTTTCAGGCATTTGTGTGTTTAAATACGTAAAACTGAGCTGTTTTTTTAAGTTTCTAAAAGTTTTGGTTTGTGAGCAGCAGACTAAAAACTGAACAAAAATTGATTAGAGACAAAAGAGAAAATAGCAGTTGTGGGGGAAATCAATATATGTATGATCAGTTTCTTCACTTCTCTCTGGTAACTTTCCACTAGTGAATATCTAAAATTCGGATAAATTTTCAGAATTTATCTGAAAATTCAAAATTTTCTGCCATTTCTATAGTTAGGAGTCAGATTTATGGGCGATAATTACTGATTCTTAACTCTAAATTCAGAGGTCTCAGCCTATTAGATTAAAGCAACAGATCTGTTTCAGGTTAAAACAAACAATCAAACAAACAAACAAACAAACACAACACAACCAACACAAAAAGGACAAACAAAACTTTTTTTTCTTCTGGGATTCTATGGTGGGAACTAATCCACAGTTATGTGACAATGCAGTGTACTCAATTGAATTTTTTCTTTATTTCTTATTATGCTGACAGACACAAAAACATTAATTTGACATTTACAGAAACTATAGCACAATCAGTTTTTCTCCCATGCCGAATTATCGCCCCTAAATCTGTCTCTCAACTGTAGAAATGGCTGAAAAATGACTCTCAGAAATTAAAATACTCACCAGTGGAAAGTCACCAGAGAGAAGTGAAGAGATGATTGTACTTTTATTGATTTACCCCACAAACCAGAGCTGCAAGAGAACTACGGAGAGCCGCGAGGGACAAAATAAAGAGGCCAAAACAGGAAAAGAAAGCTGGACTTCAGCTTCCATCTGGAGGATCTGATCTCAAACCCTGATTCTGGGTTTAGTCTCCATCACAAAACAATTTAATCTGAAGTTTACTTCATTTTAAGATGCCAAAGATTAGATGTCTGCTTGTGTAATTTGTGCTGAACTGTTTCATAAACTGAACTGTTTCATAAACCCATAAACGACCCTAATTCCAGCTAATTCCCCCGGGGCTGGAGAACTATGGAGAGCCGCGAGGGACAAAATAGAGAGGCCAAAACAGGAGGAGAAAGCTGGACTTCAAATTCCACCTGGAGGATCTGATCTTAAAACTGATTCTGGGTTTAGTCTCCATCACAAAACAGTTTAATCTGAAGTTTAATTAATTTGAAGTTTACTTCATTTTGAGATGCCAAATATTAGATGTCTGCTTGTGTAATTTGTGCTGAACTGTTTCATAAACCCATAAACGATGCTAATTCCAGCCCTGGATGACAAAAATATGAATCAGAAGCTGCGTGTTTGCGGTAATAAGATCAAGAGCTCTACAGAAACGCGGCCACTAAAACATCCCGCCATCAAAATGCTGAGAGCGCCCGGCCTTCATTAGTCGCTTTAGTCATTGTTTACCCGCTAACGGGGGGCCGGGGTTTTTTCTCGGGCTAATGAAAATCAAGAGGCGGCGGATGACGCACGGCCCCCGATGAGCAAAAACAGAACAAGTGGCAGCTCCTACCGACCAATCCAGAAGCTCCCGGCGGCCATTATCCGCCCCGGCGGGGGTCAAGAGCTGCTGTCACTCAGCCATAAATGGCTGCCTGAGCTAATGACGGAGGACGGGTGTTTTGATGGAAT